CAAGCAGCTGGGTGAGAAGGTGACAATGAACAGTGCTGGGGGAGCTGAACATTATCAGGGTGGACAAATGAAAAAAGCCAGCTCGGCCTCAGTTACATGTTGACTTCTAACTTCTATTCATACACAATCCAGCTTACCTGCTGCTCTGTACAGGATCTTGGGCTCAAAGAATATGCAGGGGTTCTTGTCAGCGATGCAGGAGAGGAGCAGCCCCTTGGCCTGCACTGGACTACGAGGTATTACAATCTGAGAAACACAAGACTGGTCATCAGACTACCATGTCTATACTACAGAAAAATCTCTAGTCCCACGAAGGTTTAAGTTTTCTTTTTTTTAAACAGAAGAGATGTAATGTAATAGTCAGTGAAAGCTGAAACCAAAAATTTCATTAAGATCAACACAAAAACCCTTCAAACTTGTCATGTCTCTTCTCCCCTCTTGCAATGTATTGGTGCCACAACTTTAGGTGGTTGGGTATTCCAGCATGACAATGATCCAAAACACACGGCCAAGGCAACAAAGGATTGGCTCAAGAAGAAGCATATTAAGGTCATGGAGTGGCCTAGTCAGTCTCCAGACCTTAATCCCATAGAAAATCTGTGGAGGGAGCTGAAGGTTCGAGTTGCCAAACATCAGCCACGAAACATTAATGACTTGGAGAGGATCTGCAAAGAGGAGTGGGTCAAAATCCCTCCTGAGATGTGTGCAAACCTTGTGGCCAACTACAAGAAACGTCTGACCTCTGTGATTGCCAACAAAGGTTTTGCCACCAAGTACTAAAGCACGTTTTGCAAAGGGATCAAATACTTATTTCATTCATTAAAATGCAAATTACTTTATAACTTTGTAACTTTGTTACATGCACATTGATTTACTTGTGTTGTTTTTATGTGTGCATTTGATGTTTTTATATGCACTAGGAAAACATACCTTTCAGGGCTTCATTTTATGTTAATTTATGCTTAAAAAAGTGCAATTGCATTTGTTGTTGGTTGATTTTCAAGTATAAAACTTATTAAAATGTTTTCAGTGTGTGTATCAGTTCTTTTTTTAACATTTTCATCTCATTTGAACAAAACCGTGATAATATTGATAACCGTGATAACTTTGGTCACTATAATCGTGATATGAAATTTTCATACTGTTACATCCCTAGTGCTATGTACAACATATGATACGTACACTTGGTGGTGGCAAGTGTGTGAAGCATATTTTGTTGGCTGTACTATAGCATTGTCACAATACTGGAATTTATAACTTCAGTACACTACCTTGGAAAATGTGTGGTAACATTTTTGATACATGGGCAAAATTTGACACCTGACTGAGGGCATAAAATTTTACATTTTAAAAGATGAGTATAACAAGGCTATAACATGACAGCAAGGTCAGACTTTTTTTTCTTGGCTAGTTGCTGAGAACAGCAGAATGACTGTAGTAGACTAATAATGTATTGTACTTTAATGACATGTTTCACATATATGAAAAGAATATTCTTCTTGAGGTAGGATTGTTGCACATGCTGTGTTAAGCACAACAGCATCTAACTTAATTTACTTATTAAATATTTTCCTGTCAACTGAATCTCTGCTGTCTGAGAGTCATCAGAACCAGCTAACTCTGAGGGAGATTAGCTTAGCTTTGAGAATTACAGCTGGTTCAACAACAGGACAACACTCTTAAAAGTTTACTGAGCCATTTTGTCTAATACTTCACTGATGCTGAAATGGGAGCTGTCATTGACCTCTTCATAAAGGTTGGCATGCCTGTCCTTCAATTACTTGCTGAATTTGTTGTGTTACCACACATCGTTAGTAGAAAATCAGTCGTGGAGGCTCTGCACTTGTCATCATTAATGAGCTAACACCATAGCAAACCCTGCAATATACCACGGATTGTTTTTAGCTTGAAATTCAGCTGGAGCAGAATGAGTGATGGCAGAGACAGCACTGTGAGTAAGTGACTGTAATCAGGGCTGTGAGTGATGCAGCGGTGTGTGGCATAAACTTGCTGTTGGAGAGAAGAGAGTGAGAAAATACAACTGGTATTGGTGTATCGATACTACAGTAAATGACTTTTGAAACTTTTTCAAATATTCATAATCGATTATGTATTGGAAAATTTAGGTTTTTGAAAGTAGTATGTCAACACCTCTGCCTCCAGTCAGGCAGTAGATTTATAATGCATGCTCCTTTCCTAGTTTGTGTGTAATTATGACCCTAAAAGTGTGTTCAGTCAGCAATCAGCTGCTGTCAGGCAGGAAAATGATGATAAAAGCCCAGTTAAATGTCACGCTGCCCAAGGGTGACATCTTCAAATAAATAAATAATCAACTGCTGCAATGATGTTGCAATTGTAAATGGTTTACACAGATATAAATTTGAGACTTTCAGACAATGTATCATTTGTCAAGATTGTGTGAGGATTTATCCAGATGCTGTCCCAGATAAGTAGACCACCCTTTTTCTTAGCTCATATTTAGGCTGAGGCTTGTTAAGGAAATGTATTGAGTTGACATCCTCATTTGACAGACAATAGTTCCTGATACCAACTATATTAGAGAGGAGGGTGATAAGGCTAAATAAACTAGGTTATGGCACAGATTTTATCTTGTGCAGCATCAGACCTACTACTTTACACCTTTTTTAATGCTTAGGTATTAAACCAGAAATGGTATTCATCTCTTTGTTAGACATGCTGTTTGTTTTTAGTAAGCGACTACAGTAAAACATTACAATTAGTCTGGACTGAATGCACTTGTTCCTCTGCCTGGCTCTTGCAGCTTCCCTGTGTTGCAGTGTCTACTGCCTCTTGAACAATCAATAGGCAGCCAACATCATTCTAGCGTCATCTCCATGGAAACGAGCTTTAGTCGTGGTAATGATTGGGCCCCGTCTGTAAGCCTGCCTTTTTGTGATAGGACGGTAGAAGCAGCCCTCCCTGCCCCCTCCTCTCAGAGACACTCACCGTCTCTCTCTCTCTCTCACACACACACACACACACATACACACACACACACACACACATTTTTCCGTTCACCCTTTTTCTTCACCTATATGGCGCTGTAACCAAGATGGGATTAAGCAGCCCTGTCAAGTCTTATTGCATCTGAATGAAATGCTTTTTGACACAGCAATGGAGACAGACTCGTAGCTGACGAGTCCACATACCACCAACATCCCAGCCTTACTAAAAAAATGGGAACTGGAGTGGAGACCTGTTAATTATATCGTTGGCTTGTTTTTTTCTTCGTTGCATGTCTCTTCTCTTTCGCTATTTCAGTTGGGCCTACACGCCCTGTTTGGATGTATGTAGGATCAGATTAGCCTATTGTATCCGTTCTCCGGGACAAGTATCTGTGAAAATCCCCTCAGATGACAGAACGATAAGGCATGAAGGAGAAAGCTATGTCAGTGTGGTGAGCAGGACTCTGAATCTAAATGAACACTTTGAATAATAATAGCAGTATGGTCAATAATGCTACCAAGACAATGACATTAATTGAAATGCCATCAGAAGCTAAGGCAGAAAATATGTAATATCCCTTTAGAACTGGTTGTCCTCATTTTGGAAAACGTCACAATGCAGAAAA